AGTTACAGAGTAGCAACGAAAATAATTTTATGGTTGGGGGTCACCACAACATGAGGAACTGTATTAAGGGGTCGCGGCATTAGGAAGGTTGAGAACCACTGCTCTAAAGGGATTTTAGAGGTAGAAGGGGCCTTTACAGATGAATGTAACTTTGATATTTGAGGGGAAAAAACAGACTTAGAAAAGTAAAGTGAATGGCCCAAAGTCTTCTAGCTAGTTTTTCTTAAGCCTGAGTAAAAGTTCTAGAACTTGTCAAAACATGTCCTTCTATTCTTACCTGCGGAATCATCTCTGAACCATGATTAATAAACACTGAATAATAATGCTGAGTCAAAAACAGAATATAGTCTCTCAGCATTAAAGCTGACGATGACAATGACAAACCTAGCACAACCCCACCAGATTGGCCTGGGTTGCGGAGGGGTATCCTGCCACATGTTAGGTTCCAGTGATATCACCACAGAACTAACTAGACTAAAGAGTTGAAACACAGAGTAAAGAATGGCTTCTGACAACACAGTTTAGTGGTGGACTGTTCAGAAAATCCCACCTTTTCATTTATCTTTCACTCTCAGCTTTATATGAATGGTACACATTTTAAGTGAACTAAAATGATTTTGCTCCGATAGAGCTTTGGTTAAATCCAAAATGTAACAACAAGCAGCGTATCTGTGTGTTTACCATATGCCAGACAGACTGGCATACATTTTAAATGCTTTCTCTCATTTAATTCCCATGACAATCCTATTATTTTCTCAATTTTCCAGATGGGGCTTAGAGAGATTAAGCAATTTGCTCAAGAGGCTGGAGGAACCCAAATTCAAAGTCAGGCAGATGGCCGTAAGGGCAGAGTCCAAGTTTTTACCATCACAGCATATTGCTGAAGGCAAAGAGAAACTACACCACTTTACAAAAGCTACCTGCACAGAAAGCAAACGTCAGGCTGAAAGGAACTCAGTGTGAAAATGTCTGACAGGCTCACAAACATGCCTTATATCATACCAACTCAAAATAAAGAACTCTAGCATCACCTCAGACCCAAAGCCTATTTCAATTATGCCATGTAATGAAGAATTGGCCTGTCACATAGGAAGATAACGTCTATGTTAGATCATGTCCGTTGCTGCTGTTGAATATCTTCCTTTTGTTTGGTGTGACTGACCATCTTCAAATGCAAAGATTACCTTCCTTTGCACTGCTCTAACCTCCATTACACCATGGATAACTGGAAGCAGATTCTATGTAGGCATGAGGATGGAAAAGAACTGTCTTTTTTTTTTTTTTTAAGGTTTAATTGGGCAATTGGGAGAGGGGAACAGCCAAGTAGTTGTTCTTCAATCTTAGTTGTGGCGGTCGCAGCTAGCTCAGCTCCAAGTCCAGTGGTGACGCTCAGCTCAAGGTGCTGTGTTCAATTAGTTGCGGGTAGGTGTAGCCACCATCTCGAACAAGCAACCTTGTTGTTAAAAGCCCACGCTCTATCCACTGAGCCATCCAAGCAGCAGTTCAGCTCAAGGTGCCGAGTTTAGTCTTTAGTTGCAGGCGAGCGTAGCCCACCATCTCCAACAGGCAGTGTTGTTGTTAGAAGCACATGCTTTCACCAGCTGAGCCATCCTGCCACCTGTGGCAGCTCAGCTCACTGGCCCATATGGGAATTAAACTAGTGACCCTGTTGCTCAGAGCTTGAGCTCTTGAGCAAGCTCTTAACCAACTGAGCCACTAGGCCGGCCCCAAGAATTGTCTTTTGCATAATCTCGTTATGCTCTTCCAACNAAAGACGGGGGAGAGGGGTGTCACCCCAGGAAACCTCTGAGGAGCTATTCTGCACAACTGATGAAACACCCCTGAGGGGCCAACCAAGAACCATTGTTTATACAGTGTGTGGGCTGGCGTCTGGACTGGCACACCAGAAGTGTGGGGGAGAGAAGGCAAAAGGAATTCTCAGACACTCTTTGAAGAAGCCACTACCTGAAGCAGGTGTTGGAAGGGGCCTTGGAGCAGCCAATCGTCATTGCCTGAGCAAAGCAAAAGCTGAAAGAACTCCAGGGAATAACACTGTCCTGGCCCCTCCTTAACACTCAACTACAAACAACAGGCCTAGGAGGAACTCATGTAACTGAAACAAATAATCATCAGATTAAGAGCCAGCACAGGAGCTGTACCAAGAAACTACAAGAAAAAGGAAAATGGAGCCGCTGCTTAACCATGGGCATTTATCTATCCCTATGTTCCTTCTTGAAACTCCACCAAAATGACAGGTAAGAAGATCCCAAGGAAGAGCACCCAAAAGGAGACAATTGTAGAAGAAAGATGGCAACGTAAGTTTGGAAAACAGAAAGCCAATGAGGGGGGTAACCCACTGGACAACACCTAGGGACCTGAAGCCCCCATGGATGATGGGACGGCAGCCCAGGGCTAGGAACAGGGTGACTTGTGTCCAGTCCATAAAGGGGCAGAAAGACTCACTCAGCCTCCCTCAACTTGCACACCCAACCAATTATCCTCCTCCTCCACACCCCATCTCTCGTGGGTAAGCAAGTTTATTCTCTGGGGAAAATGAACTACTGAGGCTCAGAGCTCAGGCCCATAATGGCTCAGAGGAAGAGGGGGTGAGATGCTAGAATATGGCGAGGAGCCCAGTGAAAGTCCTATGAACAGCGAGACCTCCAGTCCCCTTCCTCCCAAGCTGCTCCCAGAACGCAGAGAGATTTGAGGATTCTTCTCCGTGGAACCAGAACAACCCCAGAGGAAACACCTACAGATGCTATCAGCTGGTACTCTTCATCAGTCTTACTCAAGGAGCCCCACCTGGAAGGGTTACACTGTAATTTCTATTTTCAAGATTTAACACTGTAGTCTGGTTCGGTTTGGCAATGTAATCTAGCTTGAAACTTTTTATTAATAAAACTTTCTTTTCTTTGCTACCCTACCTCCTACGGGCTTTAATGGCTGTTTACTCAAGACCATATTCATACTTCGCTAACTTGCAGAACTGGATTTAATGTTTTCTCATGGCTGCAGGCTTACCTGTTAATCTGCTAAACCCCCAGGACACTGACTTGAAAGCAGCAGTTACAGCTTTGTGCTGGGATCCACTCCTACAACAGAGACTGAGATCATTTTATCGCGGAAACAAACCAGACTCTGGGACACACTTTTTTTCCTTCTTCAAACCTCAACGCCCAGGAAACTGCCAGGCCAAACCCTTCTTCCTTTGTTGTTCTTAAGAGCCTATAAAACCTTTCGTCTGTGCTGGGAACAGGAGCTGGCCTTTGGACAGGAGTCTGCCATCCTCCCGGAATGCTGGCAGTTTGAATAAACCTGCTTTTTTTCCCACCAACCTTATCACAAGCAGCAAGCAGCCAGACCTCAATTATTGGCTCACAAGCAGCAAGCAGCCAGACCTGAGGTTGGTAACACACCCAGGTACACAAAGTTCCCAAATGTGTATGTGTGCGTGTCCCTCACTCATATATAAATAAAGGCCTAAGATCATCAGAAAACTAAAGAAAGGCTCCAAGACAAAAAAAAGTTTCTAAAAAATAAGAAAAAGCTACGTGGAAGAAATAAAGACAATAAAGGGAGCAAATAAAAAATACTCTAAAAAATCATTAATATCCTGAAAGGTAAAAGAAGATATTGCATCCATGAAATAACAAGAAGCTACAAGAAAGGAACAGAGGACAAGATTGAACTTGTAGAATCTGTAAATCAGATAGCGGAAGTTTAAAAATTCAACAGAATGAATGGCAAAATCACGGAAATTACCTAGAAAGTAGAACTAAGATGATAAAGAAATAGACAATAAAGAAAAAATTATACAATTCAGAGAATTAATCCAGCAGTTCCAACATCTAAATAATAACAGCTCTAGAACAAGAAGGAAATCATCAATGATGTAATATTTTTAAATGTCCCCAAACTGAAAAATGTTAAGTGTCTGGAACGAAAGGGGCCACCAAGTATGTAGCACAATGAATGGGGGAAAAAACCTCAGATGATGTGCAAAGATGGCCACAATAATTCTTGTATTGCGTTAGGCATGCCCTTTTGCAGGGTGACTTTGCCACTCTTCTCATGAAGAAATAGTATTTATTTCCACATCCCTTTAATTTAGACTGGCGTCAGGACTCACTGTGAACAACAAAATGTAGCACAAGTGACCCCATGATTTGAAGCCTAGGTGTCAAAGTCTTCACAGCTTCCTCACTCACGTTTTTTGGAAGGCAGCCACCACTATGTAAAGAAGCTAAGGTTAGTCTTTCTGGGGATGAGAGACACATGTAAAGAGAGACTCAGCTAACAGTCAGCAACAACTACCAGTCATGTGAGTGAGGCCATCTTAAAACTGTCCAGTTCGGTCAAGCCACCATATGACTACAGCTATAGGAGTGACCTTAGCAAGACCAACAGAAAACCCATGCGGTGCCAAGAATAATGGAAGCTCTGAGATTTTACCTACCAAGTGAGCCTGCCTGTACTACAATATAACAGTGTCTGGTTCTTAGCTTTGTGGATCTGGAAACTCAATTTTTTTCATTTTTTAAAGATTTTATCGGGGAATTGGGGTAGGGGAACAGTGTTAGGGAGTCGGGGAAGGGGAACAGACAAGTTGCTGTCCTGTTTTGTTCTTCAGTCTAGTTGTGGAGGATGTCGCTTCACTGGCCCATGTTGGTATTATCATAACGCTCTTCCCAGGTGAGGCAGATGGGTCACCAGACACTGGATGGCTGCTCATGGCGGCTCTTGGAAGCTCATGCCAGCTGCCGGCTGCTCACGGGAGCCCACTGCAGCTCCACCGCAGCCTATGCCATCGCCGGCGACTCATGGCAGCCCAGCTCCAGGTTGAGCTGTTGTTCACTGTCTTAGCTGTAGAGGGCGCAGCGTCACTGGCCCTAATGTGGGATCCGAACCGGGCTCTGCTGCTCAGAGCTGGTGTCCCAAGCCAATTCTTAATCAATGCACCACTCGGCCGGCCCTGGAAACTCAATTCTTTAGGATACAAAGAGTTGATTAAAATTTAGGAAACTGATATACATTAACCAAAATCATAAGAGATTGATAAACCAGTGTGTCAATTTCTTGATTTACAGAGGAGGATATGCCTTTGTAGTGATTGCTACCATAACACTTACCATATAATATACACTCAATAAATCTGAATAGAACCATTCCTGGTAGCCTCGTATTTCTTAACAATATACTTATACTATTATTTCTTAATATTATCTCGACCTTAGGTATTTCTTGACAGAGCTGTGAAGATTCAAAACTGAACATATCTAACATGTGCTTTATAATTGGCATCTATTATTATTCTGCCTTAAGACAGGTCAGGAAAGAAAGAACTCAGGACCAAAAAGGGACAGTGAGGTTTAGTACTTGGATGCACTGTGAGTCATACCCATTTGGTGGACCAAGTTCAAGTTATCACCTGTATGTACTATAAAAACTTCCTGGAGGGCTGGCCGAGTGGCTCATTGGTTAAGAGTTGGCTTGGGAGCGCAAGCTCTGAGCAGCGGGGCCCCGGTTTGGATCCCACATGAGGGCCAGTAATGCTGCATCCTCTACAGCTAAGATGGTGAACAACAGCTCAACCTGGAGCTGGGCTGCCGTGAGTCACCAGCAATGGCATAGACTGCAGTGAGTCTGCAGTGGGCTGCCGTAAGCTACCGTGTGAGTGGCCGTGCAATAGCCAGCAACCAACTGCCTCAGCTGGGAAGAACGCAATGATCAGAATACCAACATGGGCCAGTGAAGCAACATCCTCCACAACTAGATTGAAAAACTAAAGTACAGCAACTTGTCTGTTTCCCTTCCCCGATTTCCCAATAAAAACAAACAAACAACAACAAAAAGAACTTCCTGGATCATCCCAGCTCACAGTGATTGCTTAAGCTACAAAAATATTGCTTACCAGAATACTGGATGCTTTTATTCCAAAAAAAACCCAGACATCTATTTATTTACATCTTTGACTTGACTACTAAGCTTGAATCCCAAGGTAGGATGTCCCACCCACCCATTTTGTTATTCCAGTAGCGGGCTCAGCACCCATCTCATAGTAGGCACCCAATGAAATTGAATCACCGTCTCCACCAGAAATGGATGTTACCAGCCTTTCCAACACCCACCCTATGCAATGATAATCAAACCATATGTTCTCTTTCCCTGGACCCTGGATGCAGCCTCAGCATCCTTCTCAACACATCACTCCAAGAAACCATTACTAGTAGATCTAAGTTGGCAAACAAGATAAACCTCGTTACCATCCTTGGTCTATACTATTCATCTGACTCAGTATAGGCCACCATGAAAAAGAGTGAAGTAACCATGTTCATTCACTCACTCATTCAGCAAATATTTACTGATTCCAGACTCCATGCTAAGTTATAAATAAGACACCTTCAAGAATTTACAGCCTGGAGGGAAAAGAATATATTGTATGTGCAAGTAACAGGAGATGAGGCATGGTGCTACTGCAGACCCGATTAGCTGTTTCCCCACTTCTCTGCTAATAAAATCCCCAACTTGTTCAGAAACTAAGTGCCCTGTGAATTTTAAACAATATTCAAGACATCTCAAATTCATTCACTTCTTTTCCCTCCAGTGTCAGCATCTTAGTGTAAGCCACCATCAATTCTCACTTGGTCCAGTGTAATATCCTCCAAACTGGTCTTCAGTTTCCACCCAGTAACCGTCACTGTTCACAACTGAAATCTGATGAAGTCACTGTCTGGCTCACAGCCCTTCAGTACCTTCCTGCTGACCTCAGAATAAATTCCAGGATCTTCAACATGACTCCCCCACACCCACCCCATCCTGAACCCTAACCACCTCTCCCATGTCACTAACTAAGTCTCGTACCTCTCGTCCCTACCATGCTCCAAACACGTGACCCTTCGTTTCATGCATGACAAGATCTTCCATACCTCAGAACCTTCCTTAGTGCTGTTCCCTCAGCCTGGAAGATTCTCCCTTTCGCCCTTCAACTGACTACCTTAGCCTCTAACTTCGTATCTCAGAGGTTCATAAGTTACTTCTTCAGGGTATTCCAACCCTCCCTGAAATCCTCAGCCCTGCCCCTACCCCCAGTAATTTAATATGTGAGTGACCTCCCCATTTCCTTCAAAGCACTTATCACAGTTTTCACTTATACGTTGACTGATGTGTTTGTTTAATGTTCAGACTGTGATCGATGATGATGAGAGCAGTAAGTATTTCTTAAGAACATACAATAGACTAGGCATTGAGCTAAACACAAGATCTCTTTGCCCCAATTCCATGAGGTTAGTTCTATGATATCAGTCACCCCCACTTACAGACTCCCTGAGGCACAGGGAGCTATCAGTTTCACAGCAAGAAAAACGTTCTGGAGATGAATGATGATGAACATTATAAATATACTTAAAACCAATGAAGTGTACACTTTAAAATGGTTAATATGATAAATTTTATGTTATGTGTACTTTACTACAATAAAACAAATGTTTCAATAATTCTAAGGGAAAATTATTTCCAACCTATAATTCTATATAAAAGAGTGAGGTCCCAACGAGGGTTAGTACTAGGCCATTCTAGAAAAGATGGTGAGGGATGAGCAGTAAGATAACACGACTTCTAAGCAGAGACATGAATGAATAAATAGGAACTTCATTAAATTCTATGATTATTAAACTTTCAAGTTTGCACTGAAAAGACTAAAGCAAGGTAACTTCTTCTTTTACAAATAGAGGAACTACATGGACAGAGAAAGCGGAGGTGGGGCCGCTGCGGGTTAACTGTGGGGAACAAAATGCTAAGGAATTAAATGATATGCCCTAGAAAAGCTTTGTTTGCAATGGAAAATGAACTTTTTATCTTAAAAACTGAAGGATCTCAACGGGTCATTACAGGCCCTCTCCCCTCCACCTCCAACCCATCTCCAGAAGGCATAGTTATCAACATATCCACTTTCTAAAGGCAAAGATGAAAGGAACTGCTCAATTTCATAACCAAGTTAGAGGAGGAAGTACTCAATTCTGAACATCTTGTTGAGCACTAACAAGGAACACAGGACAAAAATCACATAATTTTAGCCAGGAAAAAAAAAAGGGGA